AAATTTATTATTAATTAATTGTAAACTGAATAAACGACGTCATTCCCAAAAACTCATAGCTATGCGAGCTATGTTTTTCTTTACTAGAAGCATCTACGGTTAAAATTTCAAAGAAATGTCTCTATAAATCAGAGAGTTGACATTGTGCAATATGCGCATGCGCACATCTGATTTTACAATATGCGATATGTTTGCCTGTTTGTGGGGAAAGTGGCCAAAATAGCACTTTCTAACATGATGAGTTGGAAAAGGCTCTACAAAGACTCGTTCTGTAGAAAATACCAATTTTTCAAAAACAAAGATGGAAACAGTGCAAAATAAATAATAATAAAGTGTATCTTCTAAAAGAGCACTAATGAAGTATTAAAATACTAAGTACGCAGCGGTACTGATTAAGGGGTAATGAGTTAAAGATCACCAAACTTAAAACTTTTTGTCGCTTTTTGCATTCCGCAGACAAATTTTTCCCAAAGGTCCTGGCGGTGAATTTTCCGTATATTCTGGGGAATTTATTCAAAAATACATAAACTGTTCGAATTTTTATGAGCCATGCATAACAGTAATTTTTTAGGGTCAATTATGTTCGAAAGCGGCCGCATTGAATTTTCTTGAGCCCGATACTTTGGCGGTAAATATTCCGACAGCGAAAACGTATTTTGGTAAAGCGGCGAATTTCCAGAGATCGATTTTTTTTTGGGTGAGCGTCCTAGGGGTGCATTTTCCGAGGCAGAGGAGTGAATTATTTAAAAAATGCATAAATGTCAGCACTTTATCCAAGCGCGGAACTTTTTTGAGTCAAAAGCAAATGTGTTTGAGGGTCAACTTTCTGCAAGAGCGAGTTCGCGTGATAACCTCCAATTAATTTTCTTGAGGGTGATACCTCGAGAGTAAATCTTCCAAAAAGAAAGGTCCCACAGACAAACAGGAGACAAATTTTCTGAATAGAATTTCAGAGTGAGTTTTCAGGAGAGGGCAAGTGATGTGAATCAATTCAAAAATGCATAGATGGCAGCAACAACATCCAAGTGTGGAATATTTTAAAGTATAATTTTCTTGGGGGGGCGAATGCTTCGGCGGCAAATTTTCCGAATTCTTCGAAAACGAAGACCAAATTTTTAGTAGGCAAATTCTCCTAATTCGAACTTTCGAAGCGAATTCTGGGGGTGAGTTTTCCGGATCGGAGAAGCGATGTGGATTAATTCAAAAATACATATATGGCAATAACTGCATCGTGTTAACCTATTAATTAATTTTCTTGAGGACGAAACTTCGGCGGAAAATTTATCGGGGGAGGAATTTTCCGGAAGCGGTCAGTTCTCTCGGAGTTGTGTTTCCGGAGCAAATTCACCGCACACGGAAAGAATACAACGAATTCTGCAGTAACGGTCATATTTTACACTATACCAGAGACGTTTGTAATTACAAGTTTTTCGTAACGACCCTAAAAAATTTGCTTGCAAAATCCCACTTATCAATCGGGAGTCGGGAATTTATTTTACCGTTTATTAATTTTTAGACAGCAAATGTTACAAATGAAAGAAATAAATCACGGTCTTTCTAAATATCTTCGTGGCGTACATCGATATTTTGCCCTGGCGGAAAAGTGTAGGGTGTAAAATGATAATTAAGGAAAAGCGTGCATTAGTGTTGAGGGTGTTTCATCCCCGGCGCGATAGGTAAGTCATATTTAAAATAGTGATTGTATTAAAATTAAATTTTATTTGGTCAAAATGTGGAAAGCGTAACGTGTCCTGGTGAGGCGTAGATCGCGCAGGCGCTCTCCCTTATCAGCTTCCCTCAAAGGGTGTCTCTAGTAGGAGATGTCAGTCGATGTTCCGACGCCCGCGGTGCTAAAATCGACGCCGACGTCGCGACGAGTAAAGTTCGCGTACGACCCTGCGTATAAACCACGATCTCTTCCGGTAAAAGGTTTTACAGGAAATTACTTAAATGGCACTTCACGAATGTGGCTAAGTGCACTTCGGGACTAATTAACGAGACGCGCGAGTGCGTAACGGACCTGACACTGTGTGCGTTTAAAAAGCACAGCGTGGTTATAGGTAACTTAGTGAAGCCATAGCATCAGACATTATATACGAACTTCCCCCTTTGCTTTTTCATTAAGGAATTAGAAAGGGTGAGTAGTTTCCCGGTTGTGCGATAAGCTTCCCAAATTTTTGGAAAGTATATCATGTACTCGGTATCGCGAGAAAATTGAACAATAAGATATTTATCGTTTTACTTTTCGATTTACTTCTCTTTACAAATTTTGACTTGTGAAAAGATATATGTGATTTAAAAGAGTAGCAAAAGAATATCGATACCAATCTACTTTGGTCTAGTTTGACAGAATGTAGGTGTGTGAAAATTAGAAAAGTTGCCTTTTAGGAGGATTGAGAATATTTGATCGAGCAAAACTTTTTTAAACAGCGAATTAATTATCCAAAACTTTACCCTCACAAACTTATTCAATAGTATGAACTTATGCAAAGACAGAGATGTGAAAATACCAATATCTAGGTAGATATTTGAAACAGAGTTGTGAAACTCGGTTTTCTGCCGAAATACATTGCTACAAACTAATTGTGTCATTAAGTAGGAATACTACGCGTGCTTTAGTTAAACTGAAAACTGATTAATGCAATATGGCGTTTGTTATTTCAAATTCAGCGCCCTAACTAACGCGAGTAGGCCCGCATACACTTTAATATATTCCACGGAAAATACCATCTTATGATTCTAGACAGGCTTATGTATAATGATTATTCTTGAACGTTTTTCCGGCTTTTTAACTTTAGTTTACATAAACATCATGTCTCGTTTCCTACCATTAACTTTTTTGGGTAAAAACCATTCACCTCACAGCGCCCTAAAAGAAGATTATTTGACAGTTTTACCCACAAATGACGATTTGTCGGTTACTGTTGCTTTGTAATGTGATACAATGATTTACTAGGTAGAAATAGTACTTTCTCAACTTGAAACTACCTGCATTTCTATTATTTATGAAAGTAATATAGACTAGTCTACCAAAGGGTCCGTGTTAAATCGCAAACGATTTGTCACTATTCCTATAAAGGGGATTGCGATTGAAGGCGTTTGAAGAGGAAACGTTTGCGGTGGAAAAAAATGTGTATTTTATGTTTTTAGATTAAGTACGCCGTACTGGGAAGAACTTGTCACAGTGGGATTAAATGGAAATGTGGCAAGATCTTTTCGGCAGGAATCTCAATATTACTATTATTCAGTCATAACCAGTTCAGTTTGTAGAAAATTTTTTGACGTGACAATTAAACAGTTGGGAGCGAATTATCCGGAAGCGAAACGTCCAGAGTGCGGAATGCCCCGGGAGTGAAACGTCCGTGTGCGAATTGATCGTGAGCCAATTGTCCACACGTGATTACAAGTAGCAGTATAAAAAATTGTAATAATCAGTCCCATACGAATTATTCCTTCACTTCATGAACCTGCAAGATATTATGCATTTCTACTCTTGTACCGTTAGGGATGTAAATCTGGCAGTGATAATATTTATTGTAAGCGTTTACATGCTATTTATACCACAGATTTATGTTCCTTAACCTATGTCATTTATGTATACTGTATTATTTTTAACTAGAGTTAAGTTAGATGTGTTCTTTGCAAATATTTTTAAAACAACGCTACATATGATTTTACACTTATTGTCCTTTGGACACATGTAGCACCTACCCTATTTAGCTTGCTTTGGTGGTGGGGTGGCGGTTGTGGAATTCCTTTTGTTCAATTAACAATACGTCCTGACAATGTTGTTCGGAAAATTTTTATGAAGTAGTTTATATGTGGACCGGCCAACTGCCAACCAAGATTATCCAAAAATGTTGACCGGATAACTGTTTCTGACTTTTTGGCGATCTATTCTCATCAATATCCTTGGAGGAGTGGAATTTAGATATCTTGATTGTTGTAGCGTTCTCACAATAGTTAATCCAAAATTATTTAACATTTACTCATGAGGTAGTGGTATTGATGTAAATAGGGAATGCAATCCCGCAGCAAAATCTCAATCCCGGTGTTTGCGGGATTGTTAGATGTTAATCCCGCGGGATCCCGGTATTTGCGGGATCTCGCAAAACTTTAAATAAATTGGCAAATAAGCAATTCTGTATTAAAATAAATCGCTAATAATCACAATATTTAACAAAAAAGTACCTTCGGCCTAACTTAGAACTCAAAAAAACCTTACCTGTAAAGCACAAAAAGTCTTCTAAGGTGCCTCAAAAATCATAGTACATTTTTAACGAAAAAAGTTTAACAATTATTTAAAAAATAATTCGCCGTTATCAGTTTCATTAACAAAGTAAACAGAGTCGTCCCCTTGGTCTACAAATTCCTCAGTCCCGCAAATCCCGTGGGATCCCGCTCCATTTATGTGCGGGATTAGTCTCGCAAAAATGCTGCGGGATCCCGGCATTTCGGGATCCCGCAATCCCGGTATTGCATTCCCTGTCTTAGATTATACAAGCATTAGTTAATTACGTAGTTGTGGACCTGGATCTCCGACATCGAGCTATCCAGAACAGCTCCCTGTGTTCCTGAAAGTAGCCAACCCAACATACACCGGTTGTCTTGAAGAACAGGAGGTTGTGTAGAAAGGATGTTTTAGAGGTCCTTAGGTTACAAAGATGCTAAGGGTAGCCTGTAACCGTTAGGGTTGTGGTACTTGACGGGTTTGGATGTATACTCGAAAAGGGCATTTACTTCGGAACCCCAGTAATTGCTCGTCTATTAAGCATATGGAGTGTAGCTATCTGTGCAATTCATTATGTATGAACATACTTCATATCTTACGAATTGGAGCAAATTTGTTGGAACGGTTTCTTGTAGATTTGTCATCAAATCTTAAGCATTTGAAACGGGATTCCCCGAAAATGGCTCGGCAGATTCTTGGATCTTCTCTAGAACATATTTTAGAAATTGATAGGTGTGCATCTTTTCTAGCCCCTGATATATAATAATAGTCCAAAGAAAGCTTTTATTTTAATGTAATCCGACTTGGACATATATCTTGGAGACTGTGTAGTTCAGTCCCACGGTTGCGAAAGGGCGTGTCCAGATTTTTTGCTCGAACCAATGCCAATGTGATTTGGTTCCAGCCATGACGGGTTCTGGCATGTGAATCCTTTACGATTAGTGTGGCCAAATAACTTTTTAGAGGAATAATTATCAAGGAGTGTTTCTCTTGTGTCGACATGGAGACTGTATTCGTTAATCTACCCTTTACTCTTAATTGTCCCATTGCAATTTGCATCAAGGAATGGATTGAGTGGCATGAGGTTATTTTTGCGAAGCAACTCTTCCCCATCTTGCAACATGTTGGATCTCCATTGGATAATGTTGTCTTTGAACGTTCCATACGGTAGTTGTATTAGCTGCCTGTAGTTCTCGCGTTCCTAGAACCCCATTTGGGCATCGACAAATCTTCGTCAGTATGCAATCACCCTTATCATTTTGTTAAGGGAGGAAAACCTGGTCGTGATGGACTCCTGTCTCTGTATATTGAGTGCGGTTACCTTTCCTAGTTGTATTTGGGATTTTTGGCGGTCGCTTTAAATCTGTTCTAAATGAACAAGTCTAATTTTCAAATACCTTTAGAGCTGATGTGATAGGAATCCTGTTCCTAAAGTTGCCATAAAAATTGTTTAATACACTTTTATATAAATGAGGGCTGTGAAAGATCGAAAGCAACAAAAAATAACATAAAGCTTCAACATAGTATAAGTCCATCCATATCGCTGTAGAAGGAAAAAATAGATACTTCTCTTTTACAAGTCTACTAAAATATGAATGTGAGATGAGCACCTGAAAATGAAAAACGTAATTACCTACAATCGGGTTTCCTTTATTATTACAAATCTCCTATGTTCAATTCTGAAATATACAAGTCAAATATCCCTTAAGATATGCAACCAATCTTACCGACTTTCCTCTTTTATTTATTTTTTTAGGTCAATATCAGGATTCAACTTTCATTTGTATCTTCAGAGTTAAAATTTACGCACTGTACCATGCGGTTTATTAAATGATAGTGCAATACGAAATTATTCCCCATGATGTAGTGCCTGGAGGCAATTTATTTATTCTTTATGCAGTGCGTTTGACCGTCTACACAGTGAAATTGGTGATAAAAATGCCATAACATTCCTAAGATTATCTTATTTCCGAAGAACAGGATCAGCTTACACGAATTAGGTGTAAATTAAAGTGTAACAGGGTACCACTGACTGACTGTGAAAAAAATTCTTTCCCCGGTACAAGTTACGCTAAAAAATGTGTTTTTATTGCTCGTTAAAGTTGACATTAATTAGTAATGTTGCAGTTGCAAATAAACCACAAAATTTAATCGCGTACGCAGTTTCGTAATAGCACTCCCTAATGATTCTCGTAATTGGATTATCCGGTGTTTGTAGTTCCTATGAATTAATTAACATACAGGTTTTTTGTTGATTTTGTGGAAAACCGAGCCAACTATACTATGGTTAGAATATTAAATTTCAACAATATCTCTCGTTTCGAATGGATATGAATTTATACCGTATACGATAAAGCGTTACACTGTTTTTTTAGAACTGCATTCGCTGTAAAAAAACCTAGTGCGGTAATACCAAACAACCAAAGTAAAAAAGTTTCCACACGCAGTGGAATGAAATTGGTTTCATATATAGGTAGTGCAAGTTGAAAGTTAAGGGTAATACTCCTTAGCAGTAATTTAAATAAACGGTTATTGATTTTGTTGCAGTGAAGGGTGATTACAGTAGAAAGAAAAAACGAAGGAATCTTGTTTATAGTCGTCTCCGTAGATATTCAGAATAAAGAAAGTAAAATAAACAACGCCACAGTTTACTGGCGGACTCAAGACTAGATGAAAATGAACATGGTAACTAACAAAACTTCCCCTAAAACTATAAGAGTAAGATACTGATGTTACTGCTAAACAACAAAATCTTCCTGAAGTAAGCAAATCGTTAAATTGTTCTATACCTAGTAGTGCCAATTGTATTCCAATAGGTGGCGATAGCGTTTCTAAACAAAGCTCCGCCTTCAGAAAGCTTTTCTTGTAATCTCTCAATAATCTCTTATGGAAATTATAGAGTTTATTATTTTCGATCGGATATAGTATTTGTATATTGTTGAGTACGTTTTAAAAATAAAAAGGGATTAATAGGTAATAATTCGAACCGTTTATATGCAAAAATTTGATTATACGGTTTAATTGTGAACAATTTCGTATTCAACCATCTGCAAGGATAAACTTTGATTACAATTAATCTGCTGTAAGTATTAAATTTGTTATGATCAAAGCTTAAAAGTTTTAAACATTTTATTAATTCCCATGAACATAAGACAAAAAAGTTTTTCTATCCGCTATAAACAAAGGAAAACCCAGAAAAAAATTTCCACGGACATGATATGCGAGACATGCTCTTAATTTGATCGACCCTCTGCTGACTTTTATAATACTTCAGAACAGCACGATTTGCGTGTTTGTGTCATTCCACAAATTCTCGAAAAACTCATATTGTAAAATAACATACCGGGACTTGTGGCACAATATGAAGGGATCGTCTACAGTTTCTAAGATATAAAGCCGCGGTAATCTTTTAAATGCGTATAAGTTCCGAAACCCACAAGAACATATTGTTATACGTCTTGCTATTACATTGATTGATTCACGAATGGTTTCTATTTCAGCCACCAGCATCATACAGGCTGACAAAACGAAACTCAGTTTTCTAAAAAAAATATCCAACAAAGGCAAATTAAATTCAAAGTTAATGTTCACTTACTGCTTAAGGGCATGTCGCAAATCAAATTCAACTAAAGCAAACCCATCAAAAACAAGAAAGTACATGCTTGCAGCAATCTGTGCTACTGATCGATTTGTTTTCAACTGTCAATATGTTGTTCGTTTTTTTAATACCGCCATACCACAAGTAGTGTACCTAATAATTTGTTGGCTGTTATAGGTTGCAGGTTAGCCGATTGAAGAAAAAAAAGTATACGAGAGATTTTTTAAAAAATAAGGAAGTTTGTTTGCACTGTAATAAATTATTTGTGTAATTAAGTAATTAAATAAGTAATACAAACTAGTCCATCGAATACGGAAACACATGAATGATCTTACTAACTCAGGTACCCGTTATGCCCGGAGATCAGCCATTATGTGCAATCATGAAGAAGCTTCAGTCATAAGTCGGTTAATGGAATGGTAATCATGCTTGGAAGGATTTCAAACGGAAAAGCATTGCGCTAAAGCAATCGGAGGTTTATAATTTTAATATCAATCGATGCGACGCGCGACACTCTCAGGTCCTTCGACGGCACGTCACTGGATAAATGAGTTCATATTATAAAATAAAAAAGGCTTTCGCCCTAAGGGGGAGTAACTTTAGCGCATTTTCCATGCATTGATTAGTACTTTCCAAAAGTCCACTATGTCTTTCTTTACTAGAAGCATCGATGGTTAAAATTTCAAAAAAGTATATCCGTACATAAGGACGTTGGAATTGCGCCGTGAGCTGACAGTGCGACTGTGATTGTCAAAAACCGCCTCCTTCTTTTAGCTAAGTTTTCCCGCCTTCTTGAAAATCGCCCATTTCACTGCCCCACCTTGTATTTTAAATATAATGTAAAGCCAAGATTTTAAGGGAAGTAAAATCCCCCGATGTTGTGGTACAGGTTATAATGAAATTGTAAAATGCAAAATGCAAAAAAATAAGAAAGTGAATACATTTCCTGAAAGGATTTTGGTAGCTCTTTTTTCCTTCCTTGTAATTAATGAAGTCCCTAGAGCTACTTTCGGGTGATTATGAGGGAGCAACTCTGCATTAAATTTGAATTAGGTTATCTTTGTCACTAACGTCTTAATTAAACTTCACCATCCCTCATTGCTGTGTTTTACTTGCGTTGGTAATCGTGTCACCGACTTTTATTGACAGAATTGTTACGGTATTTAAATAGTAATTGCCCCAGATGTGAAAAAAATGAGAGTCATCCTACGCTATCGGTGTTGTAGGCCTACGGTATGGGTGAACAATAGGACCTGGGGCACCTACGCTATGGAGAACAGTTGGTGTTGGGAGTCCTACGCTATGCATGGACAGTAGGACCAGGGAGAGCCTTCTTCGCTATAAGGAACAGAAGTCGACTGAATTTTTATGGTCATTGTGTTTCATTCCTCCGACATCCTTGACTACAGGGACGTCGGAGGTGGGCTGCTCAGGCTTCTTTTAAGCTTAAATAACAATTGGTTGATCGGGATTAATTAAAGCAGACAAGTGCACCCTTTTTCGCGCTTATTGTTTTTTTAGCGCCCCCTTTTGAACGGATGCCCAGAGCACGTGCTGTGCATGCCCCACCCTAGCTAAGCCTCTGTACAGGACGCATGCGCTATAATAACGAAAATCAGCGAACGTTTGCTTTGCACCAACATAACCCCAAAGTTTTACAGTGACCTTTATTATTATCCTTTATTAGATCCTTCTAAATACGTACATGTGGTTATTAATATTCCCTTAAAAATCACCTCCCGAAATGTGGCGAGTTCGCTTCGTGCAATGTTTGTAACCACGCCGAGATGTTAGCTCGCTTAGAAAGGCATCAATGTATTTCTATCTTTAATTCTTGGTCTGAGGTTATTACAACCTATAGAGCCGCTCTTTGGCTCAAGTTATGGGTAATTTAATCTTTTTTAAAAGAAAGTGGCGGTGCAATCAAAAATTTTCAAGATATTTTAGAAAAATTGAAAAAATTCATAAAAAAATCGAGTTTCTTCGACCACCACTCAGCTAGCACAGGTTGAAAACTTGGTTTCAATGAGATTATTCTTAATTTTTTCCGAAGTTTGTCTGGATGTCCGACTGAGATCTCAGCAATTACAATAGCTAGAGACTTCAAATTTTCACTAAAAGCTTTCTGATGTAGTGTAGATGTGCAGGCTCTAGTCTATTTTGAGTTAGATTACTTGTGAGATTGATAATTGAAGAAAATAATTTCGATATGGTTTTCGGAGGTGCTATAATTTTACCCTCTACCAGTGTAACAACTTAATTATTAGCGCATTTTTTGAAAAAAAACGCTATTATATTCGTTATGGCTGGCTGGCTGGCTGTTCGGCTGATATCTCAGCAATTACAATTGCTAGAGACTTTAAATTTTTACTAAATGCTTTCTGATGTAGTGGAGATGTGCAGGCGCTAGTCTATTTTGAGTTAGATTACTTGTGAGATTAATAATTTTAAACTTTGTTAATGAAATACTGATCTGCATTACCAAAAATGGGCTTTCATCGTGCATACGTTGATTTACAACTTATTTTGTCTTATTTGGGTCATTCGAAAAAGACCGATAAGTATTTGGGCATCATACAGAATTAGAACCACAATTATTCAATTTTTACAGATTAAACCCGCGATCTAACCCGCGAGCTAGAAAGGTATTAACGGATTATCTTATATGGATTGCTTATTTTGGATATCTTAATAGTTACTATAAAATAATTAGCGTCACAATTCCGTACTCACAGAAAACTAAACCGCGACCCTCGTTTTCAGATTGGTACTTCCATGTAGTGAGCCGACATATACAGGGTGAAAATGTTTTCTGGAACACAATTAATCTTCTAAACAACGTTTTTTTAAGGAGTTTTTTATGGTCAAAATTATAAAAAGTTTGCTACCAATTTACGTTTCAATTTGTGGTCAGTGGCGTAGTTCTACATGGTCAAGGGGGGCTTATTTTTTAAATGGGGATCCTAGTTCATATTTTTTTCTTGTTTTTAATTATGTGAAAATCAAAAATAAGTAAAAAATCTGCAGAACTAAGAGGATCCCTTTTTTAATGGAAAGCACTTTCGTGGGGTATTATTAAAGAGTGACCATTTTTTTAAATATGACAAAATAAAAAACTATTTACTAATTTGATTATGCAATTCTATTATATCCAAAAAAAGGGTATACTCTTTAATGTAATGAAAATTGCTATTTAACAAAAAATATGCCCCCTTTGACCATGCAAATGTGCGCCACTGACCACAAACTTAAAGTACGTAGTTTGGTAGCAAACTTTTTATGATTTTGGGTATATTATAAAAAACTTGTTTAAAAAATAATGTTGTGTTGAAGATATATTTAGTGTTCCAGACAAGATTTGCACCCTGTATATTAAACATTTCAGTTATTTTAATGATGCTGATGAATGATGATGAACACCGCAGAAATTCGTAGAACATACAAACACAAAATTTGCGAACTTCTTGAACCTTAAAGTTTTTGTTGGTTTTTTTTTTGCATCGCTATTAATTAGTATAAGCCGATTTCCTTTAGAGCTTCTTATTGTATTCGCTTATAATAAGACTGATTCGAATGGAAAATGGAAATTGACAATAGTTTTTCTACATGTAAACTTAAAAAAATGCTTATTTAACGGAGAAAGAATTTTTTGCCAATCAATACGATTTTGCGCGAAGGAATAACCTCCCTTTTTCTCGCCCACGAGAGCAGAACACTGGAAAAGTCGACTTGACGAAATTCATGCGTTTTGACTTCTGTAAAATTACATTTCATGTGGGATACCGATCCAACTGGATCTATCTACCAGAACCTAATCCAATTGTGCTAATCAGAACACAAAAAAAATGGCAACGATAATAAGATGTCTCAAAAATGACCGTTTGTGGGAGTAAATCCAATTAAAATTACGCTGTCACGAATTTATTTCAGTCGAAAAACCTTTTAAGTTGAATTACAACCTGATGCCGTTTGACTAAAAGTTTCTCTATTGTTTCACTTTTAGCGGCACCTATTTCACTAAAAGAGCTGTTATCGCCCATTTTTAACTTCTGGTAACGTCCCGTTTTCGAATCCCAAAACACTGAATATGAGGCATAAACGTTTTAATTGTACAAAGTTATAACTCCGTTAATTAATGCGGCTTAAATCCATTGGGAGCACAGATTAAATTCCGTTGTATCTCCGTTCAACTATGTATATACATGGTACTTAAAAATCCTTTGGGTAGCACGCAAAAGAGGTATTGCCACAGACTAACATCACTTATCTGGATGATTTAGCAATGAATGGCGAATGTCAGTTAGCAAAGAATAGTGAATGCGTAAATTATACCCTTCGATTCAAGTATACGGAAATGTTTACTAAATTAAGGAAGGATTGCGTGCGTGGAAGTTAAAGCAAACAATTAAGTCGTAAAAAATAAAAACCGAAACATTGATTTCTATTCATATAAACACGAATTCTAAATACTCTTCCTCGTTATTTATTTCTGTTTTAGGAAACGGCGGGAGACCCAAATACATTACAAAGCAATGGGCGATACACCAATTTATCAATGTGTGCTGTATAGAGATGTGGTTTGGGAACGTAATAATTCTCCGGAGAATTATTTTAATTAAATAACACACTTCCTGCAATTCTAGTTTACCTGCACACCCGGAAAATGCAGACATTCCTATTAGAATAAAAAAAATAATTAGAACATTAGGCTCAGTTGCATACGGTAACGCAATAAAGCAATTAACGGGACACTACGGGCTTGTTTAACTAATTTAAAACTACTCAAATAGTATTTACAAAAAACACCTTCCACAAATACTTCTTGGTTTATTTTCCTTTCAATTTGTAGCAGGTACAGAAGAGACTCTGTCAATAAATGCAATTTTCAATTTTGATCCAGCATTAAACTTTCAAACGCAATTACATACGTTTGCACTACCTATCTCTTTATTTACGGGTAGGAGGTGCACGTAAATACAAAAAAAAAGCAGTAAGAAAGAATCCGTTCCTATTTCTTCCGTGTTTCGTAATCCACCATTTACCACAAAGCTATAAATTTCTTTCTCCATCGTAAATTACTTATTCTCTTAACATGACCAAACCATGTGATAGAGGGTTTTTTCTCTTTTAAAAAGATCCATTGAACCTGAACGTATTCCCTAGATTTAAATAGATGTCTGGGATTAGATTTTAAATTTTTCATTCATTAA